CTCTCTCTCTCCTCTCTCTCCTCTTTCTGTTCTGGGCCTCCTCTTCTCTAGCTCAGCTCGGAGTGAAACATCCTTCCGCGGAGTCTGGTTTCGGCCGAGTCCCGATTTAGACCAGGTTCAGCTGCCCCTAAAGACCAGGGATTAAAGCTGGAGGGGTAAACATGGCTAGCGGCTTGTGCAAGTAAGCCAAGCTGTGGAGAGCGTCTCCCTGGAACCTTTAGGGAGGAAAAACGATTTTTTAAAAACCTGACTTAAAGCACCGAAGTTGCTGGCAAGATTTAAGTTTAAGCTGCAAGAATGCCAAGGTGGGAGTGTTGTTTTTAAAGTCCCCTTCAACAGGAACTGCAGCCTGAACTGCAAGCAGAGGTAATCCTCAACTTACAAAGAGTTTGTTTAGTGACCATTCAAAGTTACAACAGCACTGAAAAAAACCCGCCGTTTCTCACACTTTGTGACTGTTGCGGCATTCCCAAGGATCACGTGATCTTCATTTGGATGCTTGACAAACGGACTCACAATTTATGATGGCCGCAGCGTCGCACGATCCCCTTTTGTGACCTTTCTGACAAGCCAAGTTCAAAAAGGGAATCCACATTCGCTTACACAACCGCAGGGATTCACTGAGCAAACGTCGTAAAATGAAGCAAACTCACTGAAATGTTTCATTTGGGGGGGGGGCTCAATGGGGGTCGTAACTCGAGGACTTGCCGGTACAGGCAGTCCTGGACTTACAACCGGTCTCTGAGTGAACAGTTCCGGAGTTACGACGGACCCATTGATGGTCACGTGGCCACAATTTACAATTGACGATGGGCCTTACCAAAAAAAAGAGGTTTTACTTTTCTGCAAAAAAAACGTTGAATAATGCACCTGCTTAATGACCCCCAGTTTCACTTAATGACCACTGCAAAAACAAGGTCGTAAGAACAGGTCTGATGAAGTGGTGACCCACTTTACGTCTGGGCTCAATTACGGACATAAATCGAAGACTACCTGTCAGGAGGGAAATGCACCCTTGTGTCCATACCTCCCTTCCAGCAACAATGAGGTCTAGCCGCTTGCTCTATGTTTATATGCAAGCTGAACTCCCTGAAACGGATAGAGGTCGAAACAGGCATTTTGCATCAGTGCGGATCTCCAGGCACCCTTGCACCATATACAGATATACTTTTATATATATATATATATATATATATATATATTTGCAGGTGACAGTACCTAGTGAAGCGGGCTGGGAAGAGGTCATCTGTCTCTCTCTCTGTGTCCCACACTTTTCTGTCCTCGTTCCTTCCCTTGCCGCTGCCCTAAGGAGAAAAGGAAATGAAATCTGTTCAGCAGGGAATTTGCTCTTCCAAAGGAAAATAAAAATGTTTTCCCTCAATCTTTGTCCTCGTTTAAAGCTTCTTCTTTCTAGAAGTTAAATTGCAGTGGGCATATCCCCCCATGGGTCAGGGGCTGTTGTGGCCCACCGACGACAGAGTCAGACAGTAGTGAGGAGGTTGGGGAGGAACCCAGGCCATTCCTGCAGGCTGAGGAAGGCTCGGACAAGGGCTCTGCGTCAGAGACAGAAATGGGGCCAGGGCAGTCTGGCTGTCATCAGCTGCCTTCGGGCTCGGACAGCAATGAGGCGGGGGAGTTTCTGGAACCAGTTCCCAGCCTGCGCATGCGCAGAGCTGCCAAAAGGAAGGCACAGAACTCAGGGTCTACGTGGGAGTAAGGTGAATGGCCCCTCCCATCAGAATGAAAAGAGAAGCAAAAGGGGAGGGAGCTTGTGCAGGAAAAACCTTGCCCGTTCGGTTGTTTGTTTGTTCCAGCCTCATGGAGATCTGTCTGTATAACTCAGTCCTTCCTTGTCAGCACTGGGTGTGGAACTATTTACCGGGCAGCGTTTCAGAATTGATAAAGGTCTGAGCTCATTAGTCTACCTTCGCAAGACGGTTTGCCAAGCCGTTGGCTGACTGTGAATGAAATAAATTCACATTAATATAATAAAAGAGGTTTTTGCTGGGACTCAGTGAGGCCTACGTCAGAACAGGGGCAACGTGCAATCCATGCAGGGATTAGCTAATGGCATCAGTGCGTGGTGTTTTGTTTTTTTCCTTTCCCCCTTGTGCTTGCAAAGCCAAATTTTTACTTTTCAAATGTTCTGCCTGGGGAAACGTCCACTCAGTCCTTTAACCTCCTTAGATGTCCTTGTTAAGAAGAGGGAAGGAGAACAACGCAGTCCCAAATTATAACAGGGATTCAGGTTTCGCCCAGTTTTGGTCAGTGATGGATTGCACGAAAGACAGATAGAAGAAGGCGGGGTTGGACTAGATGACTTACAAGATCCCTTCCAACTCTGTTAATCTGTTAAAAAGAATAAAATGTCATGTTGTTTTAATTCACGTTGGGCTCGTGTTGGGGAGGGCCTCTGAGCAAAGTGCACCCATCCAATCGTTCCAGTTGCGGACTAGCGGGCGAAGCCAGCTGATCACCACTCTAGTCCTCCCTGAGGTTCCTCCAGCAACGGGTGAATGAAACGATGATGGAAAGATGCCAGTTCAGACATTAACTGGTCTTGAACCCTCTCGAGGGCATTCAAGCAAAGGGCCATGAAGAAAACTTTTGTTATTACGGTGTCAGGCCTCACCCTATAACATCCACGTTTCCGTGCCAACGCTGGGTGTAGCAGAGAAGACAGGCCACCGCCAGGGCCAACCTGTGTTGCAATCCAACAAGCTGACAAAACGTGTTTGTCTTCTTGTATCTTTGTCAGGTTCGGCAACGGTGCTAACGCATTTGCCCCGAAGTGACAAAACAACTACAAAAACGTGGGTAACGTAGGATTACCCAATTCGCTCTCCGACTGCAACGTGCTGGCAGAGGGGCGGGTAAATTAGCCTGTTTTCTCCCCTAACAAACCCACTTGCAGGAACCAGATGGCGGAGAAACCTGGCTAGCGGGGGAGAAGATCGATCGGGTGGCATCCATATGGCACGCGTTAGATTAAAGAGGCTTTCGGTTGTCTGGCCGCTGCGAGGCAGCTTTTGGAGGTGCCCAAGCTTGCGTGGCACGAGGTCTCCGCAAACTGTTTTCACACAACATAACCCACCTGGTTAGTCAGAAACACAAGCATGCGCCCGCACTCACAAACCCCATTACGTTCTAGCTTGGGCATTTTTAGTGAAACACAACTGTCCAATTTGCAAAACATTATGCTCTTGGTCATTTGGCACCATGGAGGCGGGGAGCTCAGCCTGGCAGGAATCAGAAATTCAATCTCTGGGCTTTCCCCCAAAGCTTTGCATCCGGCACTCGGCCACAGGCCGGGGATGAGGGAGGGTGTAGTCCGACCGAGCTGGGAAAGTACGCAAAACACCTTTCGCCTCCATTTAATTTGTTGTGGTTCGAAAGAAACGCCAGAAAGAGAATCCGGGTGGGGGAAAAAACAAAACCAAAACATTTGGGCAGCCAAGAATGTCCAGGGTTAACCTTTGCTTGCAGCAATTTGTGTGTGTGTGTGTGTGTGTGTGTGTGTGTGTGTGTGTGTGTGTGT